TCTTGATCAAACCTTATGCCACCACAGTATGGCCTCAGTCCTTTATATTAATCTTGTAAATGTAAATGTGCACTTTTGACCCATTCCGTCAGGAGCAGTAGTCGCTGTAGTACGTCGCCCAAAAACCCATCTCCAGGTGATGATGCTCGGCTTGGGCAGGACCGGAGCTGGAGGATTTCACCTATTGTACATATTTTTAGTAGTAGGGGAAACTGAAGCGCCCAGAGGAGAGTTGCGCAGACATGGGTAGAACATGCAAACTCCACTTAGGAACCCTGTTCCGACCGAGACTTGAACCCAGGGCCTTGTTGCAGAGAAGCGAGAGTGCTAACCACTCAGCCACTGGCACGTGCCGTGCACTTTATACTACCCTGACATTGTGTGTCCACAGATAACAGGTCAAATGTAAATTTTTGACATTTTCTGAAATAAAGTGGATTTGTTCCTGATTAAAATGTGCATGATGTCCATCATTTTCATGTTTATGTTTTCAAGCAGATCCTCCAATCAGAGAGCAGAAGCAGAATAGGTAGCAAATGTAGCTCAGTTGGTAGAGCATTGGCCTTTGAGCCAGAGGGTCATGGGTTCGAGCCCGACTTTCACCATCGACACCCACTGTCTGCTGTCGTCGTGTCCTTGGCAAGACACTTAACCTCTGGGAACACCTGATGCAACAGTGTGGTGGCTAAAAAGTTTGGACACCGCTGTACAAATAATAATAATAAAAATAATAACATGCCATTATTCCCTCCATGTACTATCATAGGGGGCGCTACAACTTTGTTTCCTTGTCAGTCACAGGAGACTGCTCACAGAGACAGAGTCGACCAATCAACAGCCTCCAAAGCATCTGGGCCTGATTATAATGGAGATAGGTGTCATTTAAAATGTTAATGGTCGATTTCAACTAATAAGAGACAATGGGTGCAGCAGTTCATTAAAATGAGGAGCTGAAAGGACTGTTCCATTTAGGTTATTCTCTGTATCCAGGGCTCTGAACCCATTAGAATTGAAGAAACTGTGTCCGGCCCCCTGGTCTCATCATTCATCAGACAAGTGCTTCAGCGTCTAGGACAGGGTCACCAACAAAGACAGCATAGTACGTCACATGACCTCAGCTCTCACTGCTCCTCTCGGTTCCCTCCGTCCTCCTTCCTCTGGTCATGACATCATAACCATCTATATGCAGCTCATTGAGTGCTGCTGGAGATTATTATTAGAACAACCGCTGGCAAGAGAATCACGGCTTCAAGTGCTATTTATTTCATTAATATATAATCGCTCCATTGGAAACTGTCAGGTCTAATACTTCAATATGTTGAGCAGAGAAGCACTCAGTGTCTGGATCCACAGAACAGAGAAGAGGGATTAGAGGAATAAGGGGAAAGGAGGAGAGAGAAGAAAACCCAGTCACAAGTGACCTATTCGGTTTCTGTCTGTAAAATATTATTGCATCATCATACCTGGACTGTGGAGCAGTGAATTGTGTTGTAGCAAATAGACTTGTTTCCACAAGCCCAGATTTTAAGATCGAAATCATCAAATTACTTTTTAAGGACAGTATAATAAGGTTTATACATACATCCACACACATAAACACACAGTAACACACACACAAACTATCTGTCACACTATTACATACACAAACACACACACACACACACACACACACACACACATACACACACTTAGAAGGCTTATCTCCTGCCTTTTGAAGGCCAGCAGAAAGAGTTGAGCTGGTTTTCTGCTTCTCCTGAGCTCTGCTGTGTTTGGGGATTACAGCCGGTGCACACTCACTGGCCGCAGGCGGCTTCTGCTGCCCAATAAGCCGTTTCTGCATCACTGACACACTAGCCGGCCCTGGGAGTATTACATCACCCTGATGTAATGTCTGACCAATCACACGCCAGCAGATTAGGCACATTTGAATTTTCAAATGTAACAATGTTGCAATTTTATGGGACTAGATTTTTATGAAAATGATGTCTTTTACTAAAGAGCAGTGCATCAAAACACTGTGGCCGACTTTTGGACAGAAAACTCCTCAAAACAAAACATGTGGAAGCCACTTAACTTATTCAATTTCACAAACTGAGAACAGACAGAGACAGAAGCCACTGCTCTGAGACGAGGGTTTAAAGACATCATCGTCTCAGATGAACTTATCACTGTTTGGGGAGAATGTCTGAGAAACGATGGAGTTTGTGCTTCTCTTCTGAATCCACAACAGTTTGATTTCTTCTTCTTCTTCAGCTCTTGTGATGACTTGTCCAGATCAGATAAAGGAATCCTGACTGTTTTGTGAACACTTCAAGATGGAGTGCCTCACACATCAGTCTGATCTGAATCAGGTAAAAGAAAAACTACACGAAACTGGGAAACTTTGGAAAATGTTTTAATTTTCTTTGGGAAACTAATATACAAGAGACTCAGTTACACAAATATCCAATCTTCATTTATAATAATGTTCATAATTAGCTCACAGCTTGTAAAATAAATTTAAATTGTACTGTTAGCCAAAATCATCCAAATTATAACAAACAAATGCTGAGCTTTTGTCACTTTGCATGTATTGAGTCTAAATACATTAGTTTAACATTTTAAGTTGAATTACAGAAATATATGAAGTTATTAATGCTTTTCTAATTTCCTCAGATTCACCTGTATAATTCATCACATCTGGATCAGTTTAGCATCAGATTTATAACCCGCAGGCGGCTGCATGGGGATATTAATATGTTATGGACAAAAGGAAGAGAAGAAGAAGAGAACCTGATGATTACCAATGTTATCTTTGTGGAAACTGCATCATTTTTGTTTCAACCTTTCACCATATGTGACATACTTTGAGCACATTTCATTACGTTTGAATTACATTTTTAGTTGAATTATGAGATATTACATGCCATTGTAGAAGGAAGATACAAACCTTCATTGAGTCAATGTAATCTACAAGTAAAAGTAAAAAGCACTGTAAAGAAGGAATCTGAGATAAACGGCCATGTCACAAAAACCTCATATGGGTCTTTGTTTCTCCATAAATAATTCAGAAGCATCACATTCATATGCAGTGGATTACACCGAAATGTTTTCTTTCCCCCTGAATTTTCACAGGATGACGAGTTCTGCCGGTGTGGAGGCTGGTCCCAGTGCAGAGGGAGAGGGCCAAACGTAGTATCTGCTCGGTGTGTTTAAGGGTTAAGCACTTAGGAGAGACAACACAATCCCCACATCCAGCACGGACCACACGCCCTGTGTAAGTGCTGTGTCTGCTCCTGCATGTAGCATTCTATAACAGGCGCTCCATAATGGATCCCCCAATGGCTCCTGTGGCTGCATTATTTAGATGAAATCAAATGCCGGAAGGAAGCGAGGAAAGAGATGTTTCCCAGAGCAGGTACAAGGACAGGGCCTGCATGTGTACTCTGCCAGGGTATCAGCGTCAGGATGATATAAGATCATGATATGAACTGCTTTGAGTACAGGATCAGACTAAAATCAGAATTAAAATCAAAATTATTTTCATTGCCATTGTGGGCTTTGGCTCTTGGTGCAAACAAGTTATGAAAGTAAAGATAGAAAGGCATGCATAAGAATAAATACAAAATCTACATCACATTTCTTAAAAATACCTTATATACATGTGCAGTAAGTACACACAATAGACAGTTAGCAGTGCAGTAAAGGGACAGTAGCATTATATTGTCATCGGATAAAATGAAAAGAACCCAAAAGGCTGGATGGCAAAAATACTCCAGAACCCCAGAAAAGAAAAAAGATCAAACAAGGTGTAGCAAATAATAACTGGGTTGAAAAAACAAGATATGCAATAGTATATAAAACGATGAAAACCAAAAAAGTTATTATGATTATTTTGAGCTCATTAGGAGACAGAACTTCACTTGAATACTCTGGGGCAAGGGCTTTAAAGGCAACAAATTATATCCTGAAAGTGATGGGCAACCGGAGTGATGTGTTTCCTTTTTTTGTCAGGGTTATAACTCTCGCCTTCTGAACAAACTAGAAGTGGTATGTCTTTGATGAATGATCTGACATCCTAATGCGGTTGTACAGTCAAACAAGAGAAAACATATTTTATAAATGATAAAGAGAGATCTGGACCACTTTTCTGGTGTGTCAACAAGCACACCCAGGTTTCTGACGATGTGGCATAACAAACTGAGATTGAGCTAAAACAAGAGATAATTTAAGTCTGCGTATTCTCAGGACCGATGTTCAGTACCTTGTTTTTTTCATCTGATAAATTCAGTGGAAGGTAAATCTCAGTGTCCTCTGCATTAAAATGGTCAGAGATATTTGACATGTAAAGAGAATATCAAAGCAATATCAGCAAAGCATGCTGTGACTATTTTCAAAGCCTGTGCTCCGGACTCTGAATCAGGAAGCTGATTCACAGTATCAAAGGCTACTGTTTGATCAAGTTGCTAGTATTGTATGTTGTATTATACACAACGTACATTCATCTTGTCGCTCGCTAGCGGCCAAGCTAAGCTTTGCTTAGCTAGCAGCAAGCGCTGCCACTCCTATTACGACGTGTGATGAGGGCATCGATTGCGCTGCATCGGTGTAGGGTACGATTACGAGTACGATTACGAGTACAAGCCTATGGTATCACCCGATACCTGATACCAGTATCAGAATTGGTGCATCCCTCTTATGAACCCTTTACAATAATTTCCCACTTAATTTTATTTATTTCCTGTATTTTCACAAATGCTAATGAGCAAGTTTTGTTTAACTGTAGCTTTTTTTCCTGCTTTATCCGTTGGTGGGTCACAGAGATAGTCTGGAATCCTCTGGTTTTCCCTCCAGTCTGTCGTTGGTCTTCCCTGGGGCCTCCTTCTGGAGGGATAAGCCCTTCTCAGAGAGGCATCAAGGCCACATGGACAGTAGCCGCAGAAGCCTCAACTGGCTTCTATGCAGCAGCTCTACTCCAAGCTCCCATCGTGCGACCGAGCTCTTCACCCTCGAACTAGCGGATGTGGACAGCTTGTACCGTTAGGTATTACTCAGAGATCATGACCGTGGGCTACATACATCTCATAAAGTTTCACTTGGTTTCAGTAATACAAGAAACAAGGTCCAGACTTCCTTATTAAAACCAGATGAACTGATGTGATGGTCACATCAAAGACCCTCCTCCCCCAGATGCAGATCACGTCAGCAAACACGTTTCTTTACAATTTCAAGATATCCAAAGGTAAAGTGAATTAGGAACAATGTACCCGTGGTCGGCAGAGAAATGTTGTCTCAGTTGAAGATTAATACTCAACAGTATATACATTAATTGATCTATTTGTATTAAAATAAAATATAGGTTACAATCAGAGATGTAAAGTAACTCCCAAGTGCAGATTGTAGAGGAGTGTAAGTTTCTGGCCTGGGTCTAACTCTGTCTAATGACCTGAAATGGGTTAAAAACACTGACCGGGTCGTAAAGAAAGCTCGTCAGCGTCTCTACTTCCTGCGGAAACTTAGAGAATTTACCACTAACTCTAAGATTCTGCTGAACTTTTATCGCTGCACCATTGAGAGTTTACTTGTTGGTTCTGTGTCTGTGTGGTTTGGAAACATCACAGATAAAGAAAAGAGAGCTTTAAACAAGGTGCTCCGCTCTGCAAAGAGGACCGTGGGCTGTGAACTTCCTGTCCTGGAGGCTCTTTATCAATCCAGACTTTTTAACAGTGCCCTGAGAATTATCAATGACTCTTCTGGCCACCCAGGAAAAGCCTTGTTCCAGCTTCTTCCCTCTGGCAGAAGATACTGTTCTCTGAGATGCAGGACATCTCGTTATGCTAATAGTTTTTTTCCACGAGCTGTTAACAGTTTGAATAGAGCACTTTAATGTTTTTGCACTCGTATAGATCTGTTTTAAGTTGGTCAACTTCACGGTGACATTTGTTTACTGTTTTTAAAATTTGTTTTATTTTTGTCTTTTAATGTTGTTTTGTGTCTGTACTTGTCCTGTGCACACTGGGAACTTTTACAAATGTATTCCAATGTAGTGTTACTGCAAATGGCGAAATAAATGAATCTGAATCTGAAGTACATTAGTTCCACCCCAGCCCATAGAACAGATGTAAAAGCACAACGCTGCTGTGAACAGGTCAGCGGTCGTAATGGTAAAACAGAAAAATAGAGTTGATTTCTTAAATCATTTCCATGTGAGATACTAACAGAAAGTCTGCTGAATCCTACCAGTGGCAGCTGCTCTGGTTTTGCATAATTAATAATAATTATATGAAGCCAGACAAATCAGCATCCAGATGAGGATGATATTCTAATCAGGCAGCCTCTCATTTGAATGGCCCTGCAGCAGTGAGCTGTCAGCTCTGTCCTGACGTGATAAAGGACTGTTTCTAAACTCCATTAGACATCTGCTCTGTGCATCTCCTGCGGCCTCCAGTCTCTGTCTGCTCCAGCCTCCACACAACACTTCTATCATCGCAAAGAAATCAATACATGTCAGTGCAGAATCAGGGTCATTTTTCTGTGAAAAGTTTCCTCTAAAATAAGAAATGCTCTATAACAAAGTGAAATATCTCATTTCTGTTTCATCTTGTTCCAATGGAAAACAAGTTCAAAATCAAGATGGTATTTAATCAAGCTTTGGTCATTTTATCTTCTTTTTTATGTTTTCTATAGAGTGAGATATTATTTGTTTGTGTTTGACGAATAATTAGATTCATCAAACACAGGCATTACTTACATCAAATCCTTATTCATTATTTATAGAGAGGACGGAGACAGAATCTGAAAGGGAACCCCAGGAGGACTGGTGCTGTGTGGTTCTCATGGCGGCTGAAGTGGACAGACTCACACACTTTGGTGACCATGTGTTTGCTGGCTCCTGTTCCTTGGCTTTTCAGACTTTTGCTGTGTAGCTGAAACTTAAGCGTGGTGCAGTAGTGTGCATCGATCTGTCCGCTCTGATGGCTCACAGATTGCACTCATCTGGAGCCAGGCAGGACCGAGGAAGCCATGGATTGCTATTGATTTCTATCTGATACAATCATTTCAATTGGGTTCAAATCTCCTTCCTGGTGTGCTGTGAGCAAATATCTTTAATCCTCCTCCTCCGCTGCCTCAGACATGCACTCGTCTGACAGGTCTCCACCTTACCTATTCTCATTACCACAGGGAAAATATAAAGCAGGTGGAAAGAGGCAGTGTAGCAGCTAATACCCTCTATCTTCTTCCATGCCATGTGCTAACACCAGGGTCAGCCGCTCTTATTGATTGGTTTGGGTTTTCCTCGCCAAATCCGGCTCCTTTATTGAACAGGAATCTTCACTGAACATGTTTAATTTGCTTTCTGGAATGGATCCCGGTGTCTTGATTAATGTCCTGAGCCCCTTTTATTAATAAGCTTGTTTCACATATCGGTTGCCTCACTTTTTCGATAGAAAGGTCTGTTCTGTGCAGTTCTCTGTCAAAACTGCAGTGCATGTGCCTTTGACTGGTCGTGTTGAAGTCATTTTACCCATATCACTCTTTGGAATTGAAGCTAAAGGGCCAGCTTCAGCTTCAAGTCCAAGGACTGACTTGGCCTGAGATTTCAGATGATGTACTTTCCTGGACAGCTCCTCATTCTGCTGCATCAGGACAACACTCTGTGGATGTGAGTCTCTGCTTGAGCGGCACATTGTTCATTACCACAGTATCATACTGTCCCTCTCCTCGGTCAGTCTCTCCTGGGTCCATAGAGTCTCTGAAGTCTCTGGAGACATAGCCATGGTCTCTGTGCCCTTATTCTGCTCAGTGGGTCTGGGTTTTTCTCTTCAGTGTCTCCGGCATAGTGTTGTCTTTGTTTGATCTCAGCAATAACAATGTCATTGAGTAATGTCATTGATGTTCCGGATGTTCTTATGATCTCTGAGTTGCCTTTTGAGCTGTTTGTTGATAAGAGTAATAATAATAAAATGTATTCATTTGTGACTGTGTACTTTATAACACATAAGTCTTAAGTACAAGTACAATCTGAAGTTATGAAGTTTCAACTACTGTGCCACAAAAGTCAGTCACACTCATCATCTATCATCAAGCTTTCAAATCGTGCAGCAACCCTCCTCCTCCCTATCACATCCTCATCAGTGCGACAAGCTCCTCAGGCCCTTCTCCTCAGCTACAGTACCACCACCAAATCATCACCCCATTTAATGTACAGCTAGCAACAAATATCACCCTTACATACAAGATTACAGAACAGATTATCATGCATACCCTATACACCTCATCCTAACAACCCCTTTGTCTGTTGATTCTCCAGATTTAAACCAAATATATATTGTTTTACTTTATTTGATTTTGCAAAATAACATATATACAACATACAACAAAAAATGTGGAGAGATACATATTCAACACTTTCCCAGAACTCAAAATCTGTGCGAATCAGACACTTGTACGCAATACCTTTACGAGCAAATGTCAACAATCACTACTTGACTCCCTCTTCTCTTTCCACCTGAGCAGCTCTTCCAAAGCTGAAGAGCACAGGGGCCGAAGATCTACACACGTGACGACGAGGCCTCAGTTTGGAGTCTGCTTTTCCCCTGACACGAGCTCCGACCAATGTATTTGTCCTAATCAAGAGCAGAGCAAGACGAGTCCAGAGGAAAGGCACCTTGGGACTGTTGAGACAATCACTACAGCGTCCATCAATTTCCCCCTGACAAGAAGGGCTGCAGGCGGTGTCAGAGGAGCCGGTGTGGAAGGAGCTGATAGTGGGGAGCAGAACAAAGCATCTTCTGGGTCAAGCACTTCATTATGTTGTGAGATAAACTAACCTCCAGGATAAGAGAGACTGAGCTTTGGATTTAGTTTCAACAGTCAATAAGATATCATTGCTCAAGATGACATATTGTATAACATTCTGGGTTGACAATATGCACGGATATGTCACCACAATGAGACATCCTTCAAAGCCACTGTTCATTGTAAGTATGAGCGATCCTTATTTGTATAGCGCATTTTTACAGACCAAGGTCACCCAAAGCGCTTTAAAGTGCTCATAGAATCAACAGAGCTTAAGCCGCAGAACTTAAACTGCTCAAATAATGTTCAGGGCATCTGGAAACTCTCATGTACTGTAGCTTAATTCATGCTAAAATATTCTCTCCATAGTTTACAGCCACTAGCAAAGCCACGGCCATACGTATGTGCTACGTTATTGGATTCTGTTTTATCTCTTTTTCTCTGATTTATTGTATTTTTGTATTTTTTTTTTATTCTACTTTATTGCCATTACAAAGTCAGAACAACTCAACAAAATGCAGTTTAGTATCTAGCCGGTAGTGCAATAGTATACAATCAGTATGGGATCATATTTACAACACAGATAGATAAATATTTAATTTCATTGTTTAAGTATTGAGGGAGGGTTATTTGCTTTATATTCACTTATCTTGTGATGTGTACTGCTCAGTCCTGCTGTTCTGTAACTTGGGATGCAACACTGAAATGTCCTCACTGTCCCTCCATGGCCTCGCACCAATGTACATCTGTGACATGTTAGTCCCATATGAACCAACTGAACCTCCTGCTGGTGCCCAGAGTCTGAGCTAAACATGGGGGAGGGAGCATTTCAGATTTTTGCAGCTACAATCTGGAACAAGCTTCCTGAAAATGTGAGACAGGCTTCCTCTCTGACAATGTTAAATCTGGGTTAATAACAGTTCTTGTTTAGCCGTGCATACAACTGAGGGGTTTCAAATGTGTATCTTTCTTCTTGATGTACTATGATTTTTATTTTTATTTTTGTTATCTTGTGTATGAACTGTCCTATACAGATAAACTAGCTTTTCCTATAATGTGGTATAACCTTATCTTTCAAATGTTTGTATAGGCCATATTTACAAATGTATCTAACATGACGTCATTCTCTTGTGTGTGTCCCGGTGCTGTGCTGCCTGCAATGTGACCACAGCATCTGCAGGGACAGGACGATTATTAACTGTTAACTGTTTAAAAGGTACGAATGTGAAAATACACAGTCAACCCAGACCTAAAAAAATTATCCCACTCAAATAAAACTGAAGCGGCATAAAATCAGATGAACTTTTTTGATCTCAGGATGGAGAAAGGTATGTCCCATATATCCCAGGTTTATGAAAATACTAGGACTGTAATTGCCAATTATTTTGATAATCGTTTAGTGGTTTTTATCTCGAAAAGACAGTGAGTGGATATTTCATACATTCAACCAAAACTAGAACAAGATAGTGACACATTCTTTCATTCTGATCAAGTCTTTAGGAAGTATCCAAGTGGTTTACTCGGATACTTCCATAATGAATTCCCCCTCATGTTTATGTCTATGTATGGTTCAAAAGACAATTAAGTTTAACATTTTCATTAAACGATTAGTTGCGATTAATTGATGAACTTTAATGATATTTTCTTTGCACAGTAATCAATATTCTGGTGGATTCACTCGGTCCATGAAGAGATTCACACGCAGGCCATGGGCTCAACATTTACCCCAATCGTCTGTTCAAAACCTTCTCCAATGCCATTGTTTTTCCCTCCGCCAGATTTATTTATCTCACCCCACTCGGTCCAGACGTCCTCACACTCGGCCCATTGTCCTGACGCTCTACTGCCCTCTAGCGGCCGTTCTAGATTATAATAAAGGGAGCGTTCAAGATCAACGCTAAGATAATCTTCCCATTCTTCACTTATCCTTCATTGCTCCTCATTCTCATTTTTTTTAACATTTGTTGCATAAAATTTGACCAAAGTTACATTTTTAAAATCTGCACGTTTTGGCCCATGTGGCTCAGACCCTCATATGTTCCACTTCGCCCCCAGTCCTGACACCCCTGAAAATATTGCGATGCGTCACATATTCTAACAGATATATTCCAAATGGTTTAAAGCTCTGATTGAGATTAGAAATAGTCAAATGTAATGAGTGACTGAACAACAGGCAGCTGTAATGACTCTTTCATACAAGCGGTTTATAACTGTGTATCAAGCTATTTATTGGCATTGTCTTGACAGAACAGCACAGTAATGGGATTCTGAAAATAATTTGCAACATGAAGAGTTCAGGCTTCATGTCTGCTCATTCTTTTAAATGGGAAATCCAGTTGTTTGAATGAATATTTTCACTAGCACAGTGAAAAAGGTATTCAAACATGTTAAAACGTGGGCAACATAGCTACTATGTAGTTTTAGTTTTAATAATTTGCATTTATGCCTATTTCTTATATGCATATATTTATTTTTACATTATGGAGATATTTTGACCCAAGCATTATTAGATACTGAACAAATCGAGTTAATCAAGTTAATTACAAATTCAAGGATTATTTAGGACTACTATCTATGTTTGTGTTTAACACCCTTTTTATTTTGGATTCATTGTTTATAATAAATTAAATTATGCTTGTTTGTGTTGTGTGACATGGTAGCCCATATAGTAACTATTCACATGCTGCAAATTCAGAATATTTTGAGGGTAAACTAAAAATGGTCTAGTGGGCCAAATCTAGCCCGTGGGCCCCACTTTGGTCCTTTGTTAGCCACTTTTACTTAACTACGTAAGAGAGTGTGAGGACTTTCATCAAGATTATTGGTTCTCCCAATTATCAATCATTCTGCTGATACTTACTCTTCAAAAACGACCAGAGATCAAAAATAGTGCAGTTTTTAACCTAAAATTTGGGAAAATCCTCAAGTTTAGGACTGAGGAAACAGGTGCCATAGAAATGAATCAAACGTTGAATCTTAATCAATTTTTTTTTCATGGTCAAAGTGGTGAAATGAAACAGTCATAAGCCAAAAAAAATGAGCGCAAAAATAAAACATTACAGTAATAGAACGTAAACTGTATTGTGCAGCGCAGTGCTCGATGTGTCCGCTGGGGGCAGTGTCGTGCAGTAAACACAAGCGCCTCTCGCGGAAAAATGGCGTCTCTACAATGAGAAGCAGCTGATTTCCTCCGCACGGCAGCAGCAGCACACGCAGATCAAACAAACCACGACGCCCCCGGACCGGTCTGCGCCCCGTCCCCACCCCCTGCAGCGTGTCCGTGTGAAGAAGCATGTAGCAGCCGCAGGAGGAGAGACTCTGTGCGTGTGTCGTCTGCGGCTGTCAGACCCGAACAGTGTCGCAGCCTCCTCTCCGCTCTTCACACACTGCTCTTTTCTATGGCGCTGGGACGACATCACCACAACAGGCCATGCAAGCCCAGATCCGCGCTCAGGGACGAAAGCCAAACATGAAGAATCCACATTAAAGGGTCTTGCTTTTTTGCCCTATCTGCCTGTCTCTCTGTGTACGCCAGCGTTCATCTGCCGCCTGCCCCACTGACGCCAGCCCGGGGAGGCGCAGGTAGGTGTCTCTCTCTCACACACACTGATCTATAACATAACATCATATAAAGAGTCATTGCAACTCTCAGGTCTCGGTTTGCAAGCTATGGTTTACCACAGACGCTTTGACAAGGACTGACTGCCACTGCATCGTGCGTGTGTGTGTGTGTGTCTCTGTGTGTTGTGCAAAAAACAGCTCTGTGTCTTCACCTAAACTTGATCCAGAGACGAGTATCTGGCGAGTGCTTCTGATTTCCAGGCCGTGCTTTCTCCTCCCCCTTTGGTTCTTGGGATTGTTGTTGATGGGCTTGAGTGAGTGGCCTCTTGTGCAGACAGCCATGAACTACACAAGTCATAATAATAATAATAAAAAAGATGATGATAATGATAATAACAGTTGCTGGGACGTCTCTCACTCTCTCACCAAGTCACTGACATTATGTGTTTGGTTGTAAATGTTTTATAGCTATAGCACAAAGACAGTGAAGAATTGAAAGTCCAGTGTCACTCATGTCCCTGTATGTGGAGCTTCTTTCTGACTCACTTCTTCTTCATTTCCTCTTTTGTTTTTTGGACCTGCTTGCCCCTGTCACTCTCCTCTGTGATACATAGCCCACAGTTTTTTGCACCTGATTCCCACTGGTTGGTTTGTTGATCAAGCTGCCATGGGACTACGGATGGAAACTTGCCTTCACGGCTAGATCTGGCATATTTACATGGACACGTGTTGACTAATGTGCACTGTTCCATTAAAAAAATATATATAATGATACATTCCAGTAGATCTAACATTTGCTATAACATCCTCCTCCTGCTGATAATGCAGCCAGCAGCACCTGGCACAATACTTGGTTGAGCGCTCCAATTATGCAGCTCATTATTTTTTGACAAGAATACTTATTTTTGAGCCTCCAGAAAATATGAGTTGATTGTAAAATCCTTTGTATTGCTTTTAGAAACACTTCCTCATAATATACATGTTGAAATCCATTTGGAAACGGGGCTTGGGTTGTGTCTGTGGCCATGCAAGAGGACTTTTATAGTGACTGACATTGCCTGGTCCAAACGCTTGAGCATTTATCTGGGCTGTTATTTTTGTGTCCTGCGATGGTGTGGGAGGGCTGTTTCACTGTAAATGCCCCCCCCCCCCCCCTTTTTCCCTCAGCGTTGCATAACAACATAACACACTGATGCCTGAACTGGGCCATGCCTTTGCTGATTCTATTGGCAAAATGATGTTTGTAGAAGATCTTCCATTCATTTCTGTGCAATCAATGTGACAATCATCCCTCACTTGGTCAGCTCCTGCCACACTCGAGTGGCACTTGGATTAGTGGTAATTGTTAAGTATTCATTTTTTAGAAAGCCTCACTCATTGAAATATGGTATAGTGACAATGATTACATTCATCTCATCTTCAGTTATTATGACACTTATGAAAGGTTACAGGTGATAACTGTCTCAGCTCCTATGACCCTTGTCCTGGGTTTGGCTTAGGGTACTGTACTATACTACCATGTACATACTGTCTTTTCATTAGTTCAGGCATCAGTGTGTTATGTTGTTTATTTATTTATTTTAATTTCATTTTTATTTTCGTTTTGTATATAAAAATGAATTTCATTGCTCTTTGCCTCTGATGTATGTAGATTCATCAATATATCAAACCTTATCAAGGTTTTTCAGTAAATGTCCCTTTTTTATATTTTGTACCACAGAGTTTCCTTTTCATCCTGGCTTCACAGGTAATAGAGAAGTCCAGAACTGTTTTATCTTTAGCTGTTCTTCCATTTTCATCGTAATCACTAAGAACTGGCTCCAAAAGGCTTCATGAACAGACGTGGCTGAACAGAGCATGTGCGGCCGGACGAGCACGAGGAAAGGGGGGTATTGGTGCTGAGCTCATGATTGACCAAACATTTCTCATTGGTTCAACATCTCAAACAAACAGCACTTTTGTGACTCAAACAGGACTGTAACAACATCCACACTGAACAGAATAGAAATGTCTCCTTTTTTAGGGAAAACAGTTTTAACAGTAATATAATATAACATAATATAATGTGTGTGGTATGTTGTCTGTGCTCTAGTAGTGTTGGAGGAATTAGCTACACACTAATTCAAATAATGTAAGAAGTTACTTTGTTAAAGACTCAAGAAAGTAACGCGGTTGCATATTTTGAGATTGCTTAGCTTTGATATTTCATGAAGAAGCAGCAGTAGTCGTAAACATGGTTTCTGTGTGAGGTGTGTCTCGTCCAACATGCTCCAGGTTGAAGCTTTCTCAGATCTTTGCTTCTATAATCTGTGAGATAGTAAGTAATGAGTATTTAACGATTGTAATTTAAATACATACAGGGCTTAAAGTTTTCCGGCACCGTGCCGGAAATCCGGCGTGAGAAAAAAAAAAAATCACTTTTTTTTTTTTTTTAATATATATATAAATAAATAATGATTGCTGTCATTTGAAAAAGGTTCAAGTGTGTTCTACCAATTGTATGAAAGGATTGCATGTGTATAGCGCAGGGATTAAAGAGTTCCGTCTAAGTGACGGATTTCCGTCAAATGAAATTGGTCTGAAAAAAAAAACAAAATATATAATAATAATATAATACACACAATGAAATGGTTAATTATAACAAAATATATAGTAATACGTGTGAATCTGTTGTATATATCTAGATATATATTAATAATTTGAATATAATTGTATTTATATGTATATAGAAATAAAAAGTAATATAATCACGAGTGGGCCTTGAACGTGCCGTGGCTAGCTACATGAGCGCTCCGTAAATGATTCAAGGCAATGGGACGTAGCCAAGTTAGCGATGGTAACACGGAGGTGAAAGTTTCTGAAAAGTGCACGGAGCTTTTGAAAAGGAGAAGAGGACAAGGAAAATGTAATCCCAAACGGAGCAATAACAGCCAGCAGCCCGCGGACCGGTAAACTGGGCGCGTTATCAGAGGAAAGGTAGGACATAATTAACATTTACCAAACGCAATGCTTTTTTATTTAACGGAATGTACAATATGTACTTTGCTGTGACTGGGAATGGGGACAAGCATGTCTTGGTGAGCTTTTGATAATATCTTGGTGGCGATCCCCATGCAAAACTGCGTGATATAAAAGCAAATCAACGAGAGCGAACGGAAGAAACTCGCTGAAGAAAGGTGTGTGTTAGCAGGTCTTATATTCATTCATCAAAGCTAGCCTAGCATTCACGCACAATCACAATCATGGATCGTTGTTTATGGAAGAAGGAGCTGTATAAGTTGCTGTTGATAACGGAGTGAAAAATAAATGGAGGTGGGCATGGCTGGATGAGGTGGAGACGATGGGATTCTGTTGCTTCATGGTGCAAAAAGATGAAGGTGTCCGGTGCTTGTTCGTACTTCGCTATTATTATTTTTTTATATGGGAGTAATGAGAAAACAAATCAAACAGCTTTGGATTCACCACCAGCTCAAAACTGCGCACTTGGCAGCTGTCCGTGCACTTTCCCACACTTCTTTACCTGGTGCATCAGATTCAGCGACAACTGAGACTAGGCTTGCTCTGGTGGACTGTGTCTGTGACCTAAAACTATCTGTGGCTTTATCGCAGAAAATAACCTGTCGTTCAGAACCATCACTACCGCTGGTAGATTTAATTATCATTAATCATTTGCAGTGGGATAAAACTGCGCTGTGCACTAGCACCAAGTTGATAGGGAAACCTTTTTCTTAAACATTGAGTGTCCACAAACAAATGTGGACAGAATTTTGAATGTCCTTTTTAACATGTTGGGCGGAGGGTTTAATGAGGAGGCTACTTTGTCTGAACAATTAAATAGAGGGAAAAAACCGCATGGTCCAGAGGAGGAAGCAGCTGGTGCAGAGGAGAGTTGTCTGGCTGGTCCAGAGGAGGAGGCAGCTGGTGCAGAGGAGAGTTGTCTGGCTGGTCCAGAGGAGGAGGCAGCTGGTGCAGAGGAGAGTTGTCTGGCTGGTCCAGAGGAGGAGGCAGCTGGTGCAGAGGAGAGTTGTCTGGCTGGTCCAGAGGAGGAGGCAGCTGGTGCAGAGGAGAGTTGTCTGGCTGGTCCAGAGGAGGAGGCAGCTGGTGCAGAGGAGAGTTGTCTGGCTGGTCCAGAGGAGATGATAAAAAGGCTGCAGCCCCACCGCACCAGCCAGACAACTCTCCTCTGCACCAGCTGCCTCCTCCTCTGGACCAGCCAGACAACTCTCCTCTGCACCAGCTGCCTCCTCCTCTGGACCAGCCAGACAACTCTCCTCTGCACCAGCTGCCTCCTCCTCTGGACCAGCCGACAACTCTCCTCTGCACCAGCTGCCTCCTCCTCTCACCAGCTGCCTCCTCCTCTGGACCAGCCAGACAACTCTCCTCTGCACCAGCTGCCTTCTCCTCTGCACCAGCTGCCTCCTCCTCTGCACCAGCTGCCCACTCCTCTGGACCAGCCAGACAACTCTCCTCTGCACCAGCTGCCTCCTCCTCTGGACCAGCCAGACAACTCTCCTCTGCACCAGCTGCCTCCTCCTCTGGACCAGCCAGACAACTCTCCTCTGCACCAGCTGCTTCCTCCTCTGGACCATGCGGTTTTTTCCCTCTATTTAATTGTTCAGACAAAGTAGCCTCCTCATTAAACCCTCCGCCCAACATGTTAAAAAGAAAGCATACAGATAATTCACACCCTAAACAAAAGAAAAAGAAATGAATATTTCAAACAGTACTGTTAGCATTTGTGTTGTTTTGTAATGTTTTACCAAATCAAAGTCTATTGAAAGTTAACACAGGTGCTTTATGAAGACACACAGCACAAAGCTCATTTGCACTTTAGTTTCATTTATTTGTGTTGAAAGCTAAATGTTTAATAAGTAGAATTTAAAAGTTAAGGTTTATTTATATATTTAAGGTTGAATCTGGAAGTGTTCTTGTTGCCTGATCCAGTGTTTTTAGTTTTTGTATGTCATATCTGATGTCTAGTTTGGATGTTTAATCAGTTTACAGTTTACACATAAAATGTTAGTAATAACATCAATAATAATTAAAAAAAAGAAAATAGTATATTCACTTACTGTGATGTGGTATGTTTTTTTTTTTTTTTACATTATCACACAAATCCAAACTAGGGGTACTTGCAGAAAAGGTCTTGGCAAGGTGAGGCTTTACATTTAAGTAACAATTCAATAGTCAGATGATGTATTTATTGCCAACAACTGATGTTTATAATAAACATCAGTTGTTGGCAATAAATAGATATAAATTATATGTATGAGCGTATAAAGGCGCTTATAAAAAACGCTTATTAGTGATCATTCTATGATTCATATAGATGGTTCAGGCTCAGGAATTTTTTCAACTTTAACCCATGTACATATCATCAAAGTAATGCATTACACTACTTAGAAGTAATCTAATTATAGTAACTTAGTATTTGTCACTAGCTTTCACCCAACACGGTCTGTAAGTGTTTTGCACAGTTTTCATGTGGAAAGTTGAGAGCTCCTTCATTGTTGCATTCTGCGCATTTTTCATCTCTGCTCAGAGCACTTTTTCATTTTGCGTGTTTGTGTGTGTGTTTGTGTGTGTGTGTGGCCTTGGTAATTGTCAGCTGGGATCACAATGCGTAATAGATAAATACATTATAATAGTTATCTCTTTACTACAGTATTGTAGTAAAAAGATTTACTACATTGGGTTCCAAGTCAAAAAAAGAGATGAGAAGGTTCCCAGGACGTCCTGCTCACAGCTGAGCGGAGCTGGGTGCGACTAAAATAACCTCAGAGAGAGACGTCAACAAACCGGACGCTCACACAATGTGCACAGACCTGCAGCCAGGGAATGTGCAGCCTTTGTGAACTTTGTGACTCTGTCTGACGCCTTTAAGACTGAACTTCAGCTCTCACTCGTCTTTTCCACTAAATAATACAATTGTAAAATGATTGAATGTTTTGCTCTGTGCTTTTCTCTGGCAGATCTCCCGTTCTGAAAATGACGATGGCGCGGTATCGGCCGACCTGGGAGCTGGCTGCAGACCCCCTGGTCTCCTGTAAGCTCTGCCTCGGGGAGTTCCCTTTGGAGCAGATGACCACCATCTCACAGTGCCAATGTGTCTTCTGTACACTGGTGAGTGTGTGTGTGAGTGTGTGTGTGTGTGTTTGTGTGTGTGTGTGTGTGTGTGTGTGTTTGTATGTATGTGTGTAGCTCTCTCTGCTTTATTGTTTCAATAAAGAAATAGCCTGGGTCAAAATAACAAGATTTCCATAAAAAATGTTGGGGTCTGGTTTGGGTTTGGGTGTAATCTGGGGACTGGTGCAGAATCAACAGGTTTCTGGTTTGACCCGAAATCACGGCGCCATCGACTCGTTTGAATAAAGTTTTTCTTGCTGCACTGAGAGAGTCTGCTGCAGCTGCTTCAGAGCTGTGTTCTTGGATTTCCACCAACCAAACACCAAGATACAGTGGTTGTTTCCATGGCAACACTTTACTGGCACTAATGTAGCTTTTAGTTGTTTTATTACAGTTTTTCTGTATTTAATTAAGCCTTTACCAAGTGCTAAGGATTATTTGTACATTTTATACTGAGTATTGTCAGTGTTTCTGATCCAGATCTTTACTGGTGCAGTCGCTGCCAGTCTTTAGCAGCAGGAGCAACATTTTGTGGAAAACTAAATAAATGGTTCTGAACTGGGCCCCTGCCCAGCAGCAGTTTGGTGCAACCGTGGTATTTGAGTTGTGCTGCGTGTTCAGGACAAACTTGTGAAGAGGCAGACGACGGAAAGTATCAAAGTAAAACGTCAGATATTCTACAACGTTAAAGGTGATGAATGTTGGCCCCGTGTTGAATTAGAAAACAAAGTTCTGATGAAGTGCATCAAAGTCATCAAAAGAGTCTTCTGTTGGTAACACCTGTATCTCAATAGCATTCAGGTCAGTGAACATTCCAATACTTACTAGTAAGTGAGTTGTTTATTTATGCAGAGCCTTTCTCAGACCAGGATCACAAAGCACTTCTCATTAAAACAGTCACATTAGAAATTTTTTATTCTTTTGGTATAATATTATTAAAATAATAATAATGCATCTGTTATGTACAGTGCTTTTCAGGACATTTCATTTCCTCCGGTCACGACATACTACCGTTCACACACACACTCGGACACCCAGACTCATTCTAGGCAATGTGGGAAGTATCTTGTCTAAGGACATATGGATAATGTGGCATTTTACAGCCGTAGCTGCCTCACTGTGGTACCTGATGTTCTCAGAGGTCTCCCATCACTGTACTACATTACTTATAGAAACAAGCAGCAGCTTCTTAGCAATAAGGTCCTAGGTTCGAATCTGTTTGGTACAGGACCTTTCTGAGAGGAGTTTGCATGTTCTTCCCATGTCTGCATAGGTTTCCTCTGGAGTCTAGTGAGATTATGCTGTTAAATACGCTTCAGGCTGAAATGGATTACTTTGATAATGTGAACTTTTGGACACGCCAAAACTTCTGAGGAATGCGAAGAGCACATGGAAAATGCAGAGATTTCTAGGGAGAAACTTAAGAGCACGAAGACCGCGCTCCAACCAGTATTATTTAATTTGCCTACTTTGACTTTTGAGGGAAAAGCAGTAAAAGTACTGCGTGTGTGTGTGTGTGCCTGTGCATGTATGCATGTGTGCGTGTGTATGTTTTGATCAAATAAAATCTGAAAGCTAACCACAAATCTTCTTGCTTTTGAGCTGCTGCAGATTGCATATAAATAAATATATATATATATTACACAAACAAAATATTCACAAATTAGAGAATACGTAATTAAGCAGTTCATTAAGCAGTTGCAAGAACATAGATTGTAAATATTAACGTATGTAGTCGCGCCTATCTCTCCCATGCGCATGCGTCAGTCGGCACAAGCCCCATCATTTAACGAGTGCATTCTATAGTCCACAGCAGCTAAACTCGGCTGGTCCAAAAAAAGAGATTGGGTAATAATAATTGGGTAATTCTCTTTCCGGGTCCACCCCCACCAGCCCGGGGTGGTATTGCAAGTATGTCAGCGCATGTGCTCGTGGACCTTTTTGAGCTGGGACCCGCCCCCACTGGTTTTCATGTAGGTTTTAAGCTGTCGTGTGATACGTGTTGCTCTTAGCTTCGTTTCTGCAGTTACAGTCTAACATTACACGGTCAACACCACTTTTCTCACAACCTTCACATCTCTCCTTCTGCTTGATGAATGGCTCTTGTTGGCTTTTGTTTCCCTCCAGTGCCTGAAGCAGTACGTGGAGCTCCTGATTAAAGAAGGTCTGGAAACGGCCATTAGCTGCCCCGACTCTGCCTGCCCTAAAAGAGGACATCTGCTGGAGAATGAGGTAAAAGCTACAGGGACACTACGCAAGATTTCTCTCTAAACTTATGTATGGAGCGACGAAGATTTTGAGTTGTTCATGGTTTGCCACAAAAACCTGCACTGGGAGAGGGTTAGGGGGGTTTGAAAATAATTTTACCATGATTTTTTGAGGTCTACACCAACTGGCCTCCTACATGGCATCGGGAGACAGCACTGGAAATGCAGACTTGTTTACTACATATGTCTGACTGACTACACAGTTATATGTTTCTGTTGGTTAATCAGTATCGGTGTGTTTCCTATTGGATGAAACTGTCCAATCATAGGAGACACGGACCCTATATAAACCCTTAAAGCTGAGATGCTGTCCGCACTTCGTTCCACACATTAAGGACTTTACGGTCTCCAGTTCTTTGCCGCTCTTTGCTGCTCTGTCCACATATTAGTTATATTTTTGTTTAAGTCAGGACCATGACTTCACCTGTGCTCCTATGTTTATTTCAAAATATCACAAGACAATGTTATAGATCGAAAAACAGAATAAAAGGAAGCTGATGATGGTGATGATCTGAGGACGACCGTTGGCTCATGTGTTAATGTGTGTGGAGCTGTGTGCGGCTGTGTGCGGCTGTGTGCGGCTGCTCACTGTGCAGGAAAGTGATCAGATAGTGATTGTGATTAGGGACGGTGACTGGTGCTTCTCAGCTGAAGTTGTATCCATCGACCCAAAACATGCATCACAATCAAAGCCTCTGTTCCCAGATCCTGCTGCTGACACCAGAGCACACACAGAAAAGCTCTATACTACAAAAGCAGATAGGCCATCCCAGGCCATCCCAGGCCATCTCAGGCCACCGCTGATCTGCCACTTTTCTTTCATTCTTGTTATTACCATGATGGCATTCAGGTTTTTTTTCCAAACCTGAAGATGTTTTATTCTTTCAGTCTCAACTATTTCTGAGAGGACCACTGGACCTCACTGAACTCTGGTCACCACATTTGGCTTCATGATAAAGATGAATGTAGGCACATTTTGTGGTTTTAGAAAAGCCATTACAATCACACTTCTGTTTATAAGAGTCTTCCTGCTTGTTACACATATAGCTCCCAACCACTGGTGACTGATGCAATCCACCTGCTGGGTCTTTTGCTTGAAACGGTCGGTGGAAACGGTCTATGTATTGTTTGTGTATCTGCTTTTAGCAATCAGCTAACAAACTGGCAACCCAAATGAGATCATAAACATACAGTGGGGCAAAAAAGTATTTAGTCAGCCACCGATTGTGCAAATTCTCCCACTTAAAATAATGAGAGGTCTGTAATTTTCATCATAGGTACACTTCAACTGTGAAGACAGAATGTGAAAAAAAATCCAGGAATTCACATTGTAGGATTTTTTAAGAATTTATTTGTAAATCATGGTGGAAAATAAGTATTTGGTCAATAACAAAAATTTAACTCAATGCTTTGTAATATAACATTTTTTTGGCAATAACAGAGGTCAAATGATTACTATAGGTCTTTACCAGGTTTGCACACACAGTAGCTGGTATTTTGGCCCATTCCTCCATGCAGATCTTCTCGAGAGCAGTGATGTTTTGGGGCTGTCGCCGAGCAACATGGACTTTCAACTCCCTCCACAGATTTTCAATGGGGTTGAGGTCTGGAGACTGGCAAGGCCACTCCAGGACTTTCAAATGCTTCTTACGGAGCCACTCCTTCGTTGCCCGGGCGGTGTGTTTGGGATCATTGTCATGCTAGAAGACCCAGCCATGTTTCATCTTCAAAGCTCTCACTGATGGAAGGAAGTTTTGGCTCAAAATCTCGCATTCTTTCCTTAACACGGATCAGTCGTCCTGTCCCCTTAGCAGAAAAACAGCCCCAAAGCATGACATTTCCACCCCCATGATTCACAGTAGGTATGGTGTTCTTGGGATGCAACTCAGTATTCTTCCTCCTCCAAACACGACCAGTTGAGTTTATACCAAACAGTATGGAGCTATTATTGTTTCAATAATATTTGTGTGTGCGTAAACAGATTTGTGTGTGCGTAAACAGATTTGTGCGTGCGTAAAAAGATTTGTGCGTGCGTAACCAGATTTGCATGTGTGTAAAAGAAATAGTTGTGCGTGTGTAAATAGATTTGTATGTACGTATCAAGATTTGTGTGTGCGTAAAAAGATTTGTGTGTGCGTAGAAAGATTTGTGTGTGTGTAAAGAAAAAAAAAGTAAGTTTTACACACATCTTGACGCAGTCCTGCCTTCGCAGATTCGCAAGTTTAACTTGGACTGTGTGCGTGCGTAAACAGATTTGTGTGTGTGTAATTTGACATTTGTATCTGTAGCAGAACAATCTGTGTAAATAACCACGTTGTACGAAGAGAAGAACAAATAAAGCCTAAGTGCTACGTACAGGCTCCGTTTTACACACAAATCTCTTTTTGACACACCTCTGCCGCCAAGCGTGTGTCAAAAAGATTCGTAAGTGTAATGTGGTTGTTCTAGCAGTACACCAGCAGATGGTGCTGTTGTAGCTGGTTATTACCTACAGGCAAGCAAACCAAAACCTACTGCCTTGACAAGACATACTACCGCAGCTGTTTATGATATTTTTTTCCTATATTTAAAATCCTGTCATTCCCACCACTGTATTATACATGGATCTATTATAATAACTGGTTTGGGTGTTACTAGCTTGGAGCTGAAGGATTCTCGCATACTGCAGACTAAATTCACGTGGGCTACACAGAAATTTTCCCCATAGAACTCAAAGTAAACTAAAACAGCTGACAGATAACCTACAGCTTTCATAAAGGTCGGATTTTGTGGGAATTTTAGTGTTCCTTGTCATCCTGAACTTTTTCTCTATCTACACTATAGTGCCACAAACTCAGCTGGTTTGCTTGCGTGTATAACCAGCTACAACAGCACCATCTGCTGGTGTACTGCTAGAACAACCACATTACACTTACAAATCTTTTTGACACACGCTAAGCGGCAGAGGTGTGTCAAAAAGAGATTTGTGTGTAAAACAGAGCCTGTACGTTTAGGCTGTAGGCTTTTTTTGTTCTTCTCTTCGTACAACGTGGTTATTTACACACAGATTGTTCTGTTACAGATATAAATGTCAAATTACACACACACAAATCTGTTTACGCACGCACACAGTCCAAGTTACACTTGCAAACCTGCGAAGGCAGGACTGCGTCAAAAGATTTGTGTGTAAAAAAAAACTTGTGTGTAAAACTTACTTTTTTTTTTCTTTACACACACACAAATCTTTTTATGCACACACAAATCTTGATACGTACATACAAATCTATTTACACACGCACAAATATTTCTTTTACACACACACAAATCGGGTTACGCACGCACAAATCTTTTTACGTACACACAAATCTGGTTACGCACGCACAAATCTGGTTACGCACGCACAAATCTTTTTACGCACACACAAATCTGTTTACGCACACACAAATATTATTGAAACAATAATAGCTCCATAAAACAGTTCTACTTTGGTTTCATCTGACCACATGACATTCTCCCAATCCTCTGCTGTATCATCCATGTGCTCTCTGGCAAACTTCAGACGGGCCTGGACATGCACTGGCTTCAGCAGGGGGACACGTCTGGCACTGCAGGATTTGATTCCCTGTCGTCGTAGTGTGTTACTGATGTAACCTTTGTTACTTTGGTCCCAGCTCTCTGCAGGTCATTCACCAGGTCCCCCAGTGTGGTTCTGGGATTTTTGATCACCGTTCTCATGATCATTTTGACCCCACGGGATAAGATCTTGCGTGGAGCCCCAGATTGAGGGAGATTATCAGTGGTCTTGTATGTCTTCCATTTTCTGATAATTGCTCCCACAGTTGATTTGTTCACACCAAGCTGCTTGCCTATTGTAGATTCACTCTTCCCAGTCTGGTGCAGGTCTACAATTCTTTTCCTGGTGTCCTTCGACAGCTCTTTGGTCTTGGCCATAATGGAGTTTGGAGTCTGACTGTTTGAGGCTGTGGACAGGTGTCTTTTATACAGATAACAGGTTCAAACAGGTGCCATTAATACAGGTAACGAGTGGAGGACAGAAGAGCTTCTTAAAGCTGCACTAACTGACTGGGATTTTGAAGCCGCGGACTCGCTGGCCTCGCTCTTTCTGCTTCCCCTCCCCTCACCCACGAAGCTATCGCCCCCCACACACACACCCACTGTTGGGACGGCGCTAGCGTCTCCCAATATGGATAATACATGGATATGGATTTGCACGTGGATGGCGTGACCATAGAACGATAGAACCGGGAAGCGCGGAGGAACGAGACTTTCTTTTGAATGGCTGTGTAAGCAGTAACCGGTGATGAAGACAAGGAAGCTTCAGGTTAGCTCCGCTGCTTGTTTTGCTAACTCAGCCGTCTATGCTAACGGACCTGTAGATTTCTCACAAAAGTGGGGGCTAGTGGTCCGCTGTGATTGGTCACAATCTGCGACCCGAAACATATTCTCTTCCTTGTTTCATCAAAACTCAATCTAATATATAATGTCACGGAAGCACAAATCTGCGCTACTTTTTCTTCAAAAGGACGTATATCCCAATGCACTGCATGGACATGGATAGCATTTTTGTAATGAATACGAAAATAAAGTCAGTGCAGCTTTAAAGAAGAAGTTACAGGTCTGTGGGAGCCAGAGATCTTCCTTGTTTGAAGTGACGAAATACTTATTTTCCACCATAATTTACAAATAAATCCTTTAAAAATCCCACAGTTGAAGTGTACCTATGATGAAAATTACACACCTCTGTCATTATTTTAAGTGGGAGAACTTGCACAATCGGTGGCTGACTAAATACTTTTTTGCCCCACTGTAAATGATTTGGACATCATGTCCACTGGATTTTTAGTTAAGAATAACTCCACTTAATAATAACTGTTGTTCTTTTGTTCTGAAAAGGTCACACATGAGTTGGACATGTGACCTGTTCTCTGGGGACACATTCAAAATGAAAATATTATAGTTTCGCTTTTGAAGAGAATCAAAGTTCAGGCTGTAACCTTTTCTTCCTCCTTCCTGCAGATCGAGTGCATGGTGGCCACAGAGATGATGCAGAGATACAAAAAGCTTCAGTTTGAAAGAGGTAAATCACTCACAGGTTCTGTTCATCAGATAAACCAGGTTTAAATGTAAAAATCGCATTTTCACTGAGCTCTCAGGATCTAAACAACTAATTAATTAATGAATCTTTAATTACAGCCATATTGATCTTAAAAGTAGAACTTTCAGAGCAGTCAATTTGACAGCTCTTAGTTTTTTGCACATGTAAATGTTTTGGTCTTCATAATTTTAAGGACTATATGTTTTAGTCATTTTTTTTTTTACTTATCAGCAAATGCAGCCATTTTTGGTTTTATTCAAATTTCTTTCGGGTGGGTTCAGTCATAATGACGGCCTTGGGGGCTTCAGTAGTTTCATAATTCTGTGGGTTCCAGTGTTAAAGAACTTGTATTTTAAAGTGCTACGTCCTGATAGTGTGGCCTTAGCTCTGTCTGAGAGCTGTGGTCGTCTGTGATTGGCTCATGCTGGTTGTGATGTCAGAGGTACTGCTGGACCCGTGTCGGACCTGGTGCCCGTCCTCCTCGTGCCAAGCCGTGTGTCAGCTGCAGGAGGGCGACTCTCCCCCTCTGCCTCAGCTCGTCCAGTGTGCCGTCTGTGCCCTGGAGTTCTGCTCTGCCTGTAAGGCCAACTGGCACCCGGGCCAGGCCTGCCCCGAGAGCCTGCCCGTCACCACCTTCCTCCCGGGAGAAAACAGGTACGCACACCCACTGCTGGGAACGAGTCAACAAAAGAAGGAGACATTTCGAAACATTTACGGACATTGGTCATCTGCCCCTCGTGGACCAATAGCATTATTTGGTTTTATCATTGCATTTCTTGTTTTTGAACTGTTTGATTCTCTGATCTGTGCCGGCAGCTTTGTTAATCCTCTGAGATAACTACTGTTGTGATTTAGGTCTACACAAAAATAAATTAAATTGAGGAAGTACAGGAGACGATGTGTGGGTGGAATATTCAATTCACTTGTACAGCACTAAATCACAACAGCCGTCTTTACAAAGTCGTTGAAATGCTAAAATAACAAACGCATAGGAGCCGTTGGTCCATTGGGAGTGGGATGACCCATGTCCATAAATGTCCCAGTTTATCACTATCCTAAGACCCTCCTGCATCGGCAAAGAACACCTCAAAAAGAAACAGTGGGGGAAAAATGAGAAACCTCAGGGTCGGCCCAACAGCGGAGCGGCATTTGCAAAATACAGTCCCAAGAGTGGTGGAGACGCAGTATTTGACATAGTACAAAAAGATTTCAATTGATTGAAAAACAATAGAAAATCCCGCTGAAGCTGCTTAAATCAAAGCATCAGGGACAAAATCACAACACACAATTTTCCACATATCAGTAAATAACGACTAATTGTCATTTTTAATATTCAGTTATAATGTGTCATATTTTTTCTCTCAAGAATTACTAGAAATATCTAACTTGTGTTTCTCTCCCGTTTCCTTCTGGCCTCTCTGTCTTTTACTCTCCCAGCTCTCTATACAAAAACGACGATGATGATGCACCTATTAAGCGCTGTCCCAAATGCAAAGTGTACATAGAGCGTGACGAAGGCTGTGCCCAGATGATGTGTAAGAACTGCAAACACGCCTTTTGCTGGTACTGCCTGGAGTCCTTGGATGTAAGAACACACTGTCAATGCTGTCTTTATCCCAACTGCTGCAAAACGCAATATACACAACACACACGTAACACACATGTATTTCCTGTTTTAGACAAGTTTCTGAGGACTGAAAAGTGATATCACAACCACACAGTCTGTAGAGTATATATTATATTGATATCTGTATCTTTCTTTTTAATGTACTGTGATTATTTATGATTTTAATGCTCTTTTAATTTTAATCTTATTTTGTTCAGCACTTTGAGTTGCCTTGATGAGTCCATTAGATGTGCCCTGATGCCCTGTTGCTCACTCTGTCTGCTCCCTCTCAGGACGACTTCCTCCTGATCCACTACGACAAAGGGCCGTGTCGGAACAAACTGGGCCACTCCCGAGCCTCAGTCATCTGGCACAGAACACAGGTACGCTCTGCAGTGTCCATGCACACACATGCACACACATGTACACACATGGACACACATGCACTCACATGGACACACATGCACCCACATGCGCACACATGTACAAACATGGACACAGGGAATAAAGACCAAAGCTGATTTTCCAATAAAATACATCATGTTTTAAGGCTTTGCTAACTTCAGAATGTCTGCTTTCTTTCATCTTCCTAATGGAATAACTCATCATTTTGTTGTGATAAACAGTAGTAGCTCTCCTGGAGGAAAAGGTTGGAGTAACAGTCGACTGTGACCTCGACAGAACGCTGAAACCTAAACAGCGGTTGTCTGTGTGTGCAGGTGGTGGGGATCTTCGCGGGCTTCGGCCTCCTGCTTCTCGTAGCTTCTCCGTTCCTGCTGCTGGCCACGCCCATCGTGCTCTGCTGTAAATGCAAGTGCAGTAAAGGGGACGATGACCCGCTCCCGACCTAACAGCAGCAGCTCCCTCGGTTCTTGGCCGTCTCTTTCTCTCTCTCTCTCTCCCTTTGTTTTGTTTTTCCTCCACCGGCTTTGTGCGCTTCTTTTTGGGCTGTGCCGTTACAAGCCAGGCCTCACCACAAAGGCGGCGGCCGCGTCTGGAGCTCGTCTGGGATCTCCGCGTCCAGAGCGTTTTGTGGACCGGGACGGGGCCACGTTCAGGCCCCCGTTGCGACGCAGTGTTGACATCAGCAGATCTTTTATATGCAGAATTTACGTTACTTTTTGGGCTCTTTTTTTTTTGGACATGACAAAAGCTGTCCTCCACCGCCGTACGTCGATGTAGCTCTGGGACTGCGTCTGTAGCATTGGAGGCTGTGGCGGTGGGGTCGAGCACAGGGCATCATACTCTCCACACGGGGGCGCTCATGTTCATATACAGCACGTTCCTTAATGATGTCATTACTTAAAGACTGGCGAACAGTTGATAGCTGTGTTTTTACTCCAAACACTTTTAAATGGCTCCCTTCTTTTTTATCCTGCGGCGTTGGGGAGTGCTTGATCCTCGTGTAAGTGTCGGATTGTTGTGGAACGCACTACTTTGTTTTGACGCCTTAATGACGTCAGCTTGTGTTTGACGAACGAGATAATGTTTTGGAGTTTAGTTCTTTTTATAAGTCCAGTGCCATGTGTTCTTTCAGCCCCTGCTTTGAACCCGGGGAAACAGTAGGGATGCACCGATTGGATGTTGATTCTGATATTGGAAATGCCTTTTGGTTGATGTGACAATAAAACAACTCTTTTTATAATATTTTTATTTTAAAATACGTCAAAAATATTGTAAGGTACAACATCTCTGACTTTAGGCATAATAAAGAAGTATAAAAATGTCTGGAACCCTGTAAACACAATGAAACACAGTGATCAAAAGTAAAGCATCGGGCTAAACACAAGGTCAAATATGCAAAAATAGACACTTTTCACCTAAAAGTTATTTTAAATATAAAATTCACTAATGTAAGAAGATAAAATAAGGAGGTCATAGGTAAAACAGAGTTTGTAGCGTTTTTTAGCTGAACTCCAGCAGGTGGATTGCACCAGTAATATGTTCTTAGGATCGATTTATGTCATAAATGGAGATTCTGGAAACAAAACAGTGATTGTAACGATTATATTAGTACGTATGGGCCCTTTAATCCAGAATGTCTTAATAGTTATTTTTAGTTGTTTTTATTAGTTGGACAAAAAATTTGACACTTTTTCTAATTTTCATAAACTAGCTATTTTGTTAATTTGTTTTGTTCAGGTTCTTCTTTGTATCGTTTCAGTAGATAGTGAAAGCCAAAATATCGAGATGGGTGAGCTGGATCGGTGCATCCCTATGAAAAAAAAAGCCGACATTTGTAAAAGAAACTCCTGGTTTTTAAAAAGTCTCCGAGTCAAAGTAACTCTCGGCCCTGTTCACACCACTCTTGTTTTGCACTGCTTCTTTGAACGCAGTCGAAATGTGTGTTTAATAAAGTGCTTTATTGTGAGAGCCGCCTCACACGTGTCCCCTGTTCAAACCCAACAACAGGTTTAGCCAAATAAAAGAAGTAGCCTTAAAACGAGACGAGCCAAACCTGGCCATTTCCATCAGGGGTCAGAGGTCACTGCGGCTGATCCCGAGGAAGGCCTGTGGATGCATGTGCACTCCTTTATACCACGATAAGCCCTTTATACCAATGTCAATGATTGAATGATGTCTTTCATGTGCTACATCATGTTAACAGCCACATTCTCATCCAGGATCATCTCTGTGTGGGGTTTGTTTCGTCGCTGGGTCCAAAAACTATGTGCAGATGAAACTCAGAACATTAGAATCCATTTATTTCTGTAATTCAACTTAAATTGTGAATTCAATACATTCAGTTCAATTCATTTTATTCTTGTATAGCAGCAGTTCTCTTTGAAGACTTTACAAAGTTGTCGATTCGGCAACACAGATCAGAGATATGATTCAAGAATTACGTGTTTGCATGCTGTCATACAGTACTTGCTGGACCATGAAGTGCGCCTGTATATAGCCCACACCAGCACTTAACACAACTGCTGATGGCGCAAAACAAAATTGACTTAAAACAACATGTGTCCCATTCTTACTGAAAATTGATGGAGTCAAAAGAACAAGTCCATAAACTCTGTTTTGACAACAAGTCCTAAAAACATAAACGCAGTTCCTGTGTATTCCCCTGAACTTTTTATTTGCTGTTCACATAAACACACAAGAAGCAGGAATGTTTAATACATTATCAGCTCTGGAGATGAACGGCTGAAAGAGCTGTGTCCAAATCCATTCCCCCATCCCTGTGCAGCTCTAACACAATAAAAATACATTACATTATCCATGCATCGGCCACATCACTGTATAGTTAGTGGCTTATTGTCTGCCAAATACAATGCATAATAACGAGCAGATATACAAACAGGGGAAAAAAAGACTTTGTGTGGATGTTTTAAATGCTGAACAGACACAAATTAAGAGGGAGAGGACAAACCATTGGAATTCCATCCACAATCATAAAGACAATACTGACAGTAGAAGATAGATATAATGAACACATGAACGCAGACACCATATACACACACGCAATGCATTTCAGAATTAGCGGGATATTCTACTGTTCCGAGTTTCACCTGTTTTGCCCCATGTCACGGCGTAGCTATAATGCAGTCAGACATGTTCAATGTGCATTTCTGAGCTTGGTGAATTGTTTCTTGATATTTCTGGTCTAATAGGGCTGCACGAGTAAAGAGCAAAGTGCATTATAGCCTAAATCAAAAATGAGAGAAAACAGAAATCTGAAATGTATGAATTTTCTTTTTTTGACACTATTTTAATTGTTGAATTCAAATGACACGGACATTTTCAAATACACTACCGGTATGTAATACAGTACTAGTTTTCTTCTATCTACATCTTTAGCTCAGATTTTGCAGTGAAGAAAAAAAGATGACCAGCCCTCACTCAGCCAATCAGCTGTTATGGTCTTCTGGACGAACAAAATGTATTTGCAAAAAAAAAAGAAAGGAAGTTAACAACTCCAGCTGTAATACTTGAGTTTGATAAGGCTGGACTTGCCTTTTCCATCCATCCATCATGTTCTTGCCCTTCAGCTGCCACACAATTCACAGAGCACCAGCCCTTATCTCATGTCTCTTCCATGAGCTGATAAAAAATGGCTAAAACGCACTCATATCAATAGAACATGCTCCCATAGCCTGTCGCAGAGTTCTATCCACAGAGATTAGCCAGATCTATCCCATACAGGTCAAACTCTGATAATTACAATATCGTAGTAAACTGTCTATGCATCATGGATTGGCTTCAGATTCAGATTTCAAGTTGAATTACAGAAATAAATCAACGTTTGAACAATATTCTAAATGTCTGAGTTTCACCTTTATGCAACAAGATTATTTGCTGTTGTAAAAAAAATTAGGTACATTTTTTTTTTCTTGACAAACATACAAACAGTACCGATCAAAGAAGCACAATATTGTAAACAACAATATTTAACAGTGCTAATTAAATAAATTTAGAGCATGTATAGCATAGCAAAGGACTGGTTCATATTTCTTTTCAATTAAAATTATTTGTGCAGCCCTATGGTCAAATATCATAACCAAATTCTAAGCACATCCAGCTCTGTATACCGTCTTTTTGTCCTCCGTCTGCAGTGTTTCTTGGGTATTTATATGGGGCCTACTGTTTATATACTTTATGCTGATTTTTGAGAAATATACATATATAAATATATATATATATACGTGAATTATCTGCTATTCTGTTTAGACAAATGCTACAGTTTAATTGGTTGAAACTTTGTACAAAGACTTAATACTGCCAATGATATGCAACCGTCAGCTAGAGCAGGACTGACCATGGCACACGGTCCGGACAATCCCAAGGGCTGCAGCACAACTACTCCCTGCACTTTCTGCCCCCATCAGAATCTCTATAACCCGTTGACTGTATACTTGTCTGTAAAATGGCAGTTTTGTTCATAATAAACATGAGTGGTTTAAGTTCCTGTGTTTTTTTGTTTTTGGCATTTATTATACATTTCCACAAGGGGGCGCTAGAGTCCTATGCACTAGCTCGCGTTTATGTGATCTATTCGGTATCAACCATTTTAAAATAAGTTTGTAGTTTTCAAGAACGTTTTAGAAAGCATTTATCTTCTTAGAATTGATAGTTTTTAAAGCTGGGGTGCTTCACTTTAAAATCACAATGAATTATGAATTATAATCAAAGTACCTAGCGCTTGCAGTAGTTAAGTTATATCACTTGTTCATCAGCTTTTTCTGACAGCAAAGTGAGATCTGAGCCCAAAGAGTTAGATAGTGACTCATGAGGCTCTTTCTTACAAATATGCAAAATACAGCATGATTGGTTCACAACATTTTGCTTTTAGACTTTCTGTTGGAATACCTGGTATGCATTATTAATGTGTAAAATGTCAGTTTGAATCATTGAGACTGATTGAAAAGTGATGTAGGATTTTATATTAAACATTATCAGTGTTAATACAAGCATAAAACTGTTTTCAGCAGTGAAGACAGAACCACGCTGGTGACTGCCAAACCAGGAACAATAGTTGCCAAATGTTGGTAAGTTTGGCAATTGAACAAGAATAACAATGGAAAATAAAAACACTTTTGGTGGATGTTTGGGCATTGGAGGTTGAAGCTAAATGTATGTTATAATAATCCCATAGGGAACTAGGCAGACCTGTGCTGTAGCCTGGGAGCATCTCCAGATAGCTATGCTCTGCTCTGGTGCACACTGGGGTAGTCTTGCACAGTTTTTCCAATGTGGTTTTACTGCAAATGAAAAAAAAAAGGAATCTGAATCTGATTCTGATCTCTTGGTCAAGACCAGAGCTTTTTTTTTACCTAAGATACATGTTTTGGGTGGTGGGGGAACCCGGAGCACCCAGAGGACACCCATCATGACATGGTCAGCACTAGAT